AGCGATAGGATGTCTCACTCGAATGCTTGTGTCGAGTTTGCTTCCCATGGACGATCAGAACGAAGTTGCGGTTGAGTTTCAGTGCACAGTAGAAGCTCGGTGGGACGAGCTTCCTCGCGTGGTAGAAGCTCTTGGTGGAGTTCGATCAACCGAGGCCAAACAAGAGCTTGTGCTTGTAGGGCCAAGATCTCGAGGTTCGGTCTTCTTCTCCTGAGGAGTCGAACGAGACCGCCGATGAGCTTCGTCGCGTGGTAGAAGCTTGATCGGAGTTGAGTACCCGAGCTAAGAATCAATGACCGACTGCCCAAGAAGTGCTTGGGTTCGGTTCTCTTGAAGGAGTTGAGTACCCGAGCTAAGAATCAATGACCGACTGCCCAAGAAGTGCTTGGGTTCGGTTCTCTTGAATCTCCCTCAAGAGTTCCAAGAATATCAATGACCGACTGCCCAAGAAGTGCTTGGGTTCGGTTCTCTTGAATCTCCCTCAAGAGTTCCAAGAATGCCAAGATGGAGAGGTGGAAAATGTTCATCCTTCTCCTCTCACCCAGCAAGCCCCCGAGGTGGAAGATGCCAAGAGCAAGAGAAGATCAAGGACCAACTGCCCAAGCAATGCTTGGGCTCGGTTCTCTTGAAAGCTAAAGTCAGGCCGCCCCTGATGTTCTCTCTTTTTGTGCAGGACCAAAGAAGAGCCTCTAGTAGCCAGGCCAAGAGAGAGCCAGCATAAGAGAATGAAGATGCCAAGCTCTTCTCAAAAGAAGAAGGCCGGCTTCTGGTCCAAGGACCTCTTTCATGCAGCCAAAAGTGGCTTATAAATAGCCAAGGAGAGCCATGACCACTCCCTTCAATCATGGGGAGTGGATGTACCCACTCCCTTAAATTGTGGGAAGTGACTATTCCCATGCTGGGTATGGTCATGAGGATAACCAATCCCTTAAATCATGGGAAGTGACCATTCTCATACTGGGTATGGACATAAAGAGAATCATAGTCATTTCTTTAAATCGTGGGAAGTGACTTTTCCCATACCTCAAGTGGGTGGGCTCGGCAAGCTTGTGGGAGAGCTTGCCTTGTGCATGTGAGCTTCAAGCGTGCAAGCGTGCAGGCGAGCTTGGCCTTTAGGCGAGCCTGGATCATGCAGGCGAGCTTCAAGCTGTCAGGCGAGCTTGGCCTTCAGGCGAGCTTGGTAGGCGAGGTTGTGCAGGTGAGTTAGCCTCATTCAGATAAGCTTAAAGCTTCAAGCCTTCAAGCGAGCTTGGTAGGCGAGGCTGTGCAGGCGAGCCAGCCTCATTCAGGTAAGCTTAAAGCTTCAAGCCTTCAGACGAGCTTGGTAGGAGAGACTGTGTAGGCGAGCCAGCCTCATTCAAGCGAGCTTAAAGTTTCATGCCTTCAGGAGAGTTTGCTCTTCAAGCGAGCTAAACTCCTTCGCAGGCGAGCTTGCTCTTCAGGCGAGTTCTAGAACATGCTACGAAGAACAAGTCATAACTTTCAAATCGTAAGTCAGAATTGGACGAATTATATATAAAAATCGACTATCTCGACGAGACGGGACCGACCAAACTGACCAAAGTTCAGTTTACTGCCTTTCATTTTACTAAATTCCCTCCGGTTTGAGAGATATCGGCGTTTTTATCTATTTTGTGAAGTCAAGCATTCAGGCGAACTTGACTTTCAGGTGGGTCTGACTTCGCTCAGGTGGGTCTGACTTCGCTTAGGTGGGCTTGACTTCACTCAGGTGGGCCTGACTTCACTCAGATGGACCGTTGAGCTCTTTTGCTTATTCCAAGTTACAGTGCAGGGATAAAGGTAATTTTTATTTCCTATAGGGTGGTGCGCATATGTATAATATCATGTCCTAAATATAATCTAAGCATTCTTAAATTTGATTTAAGCATGCTTTATAAATTCTATAGACTAAACATATAAAAAAAGTAAATAATATATGATGTTTAAAGTCACTAACTGATTATAGAAATTTAATTCTCGATTGCATCTTGAAACCATTCGGGTGCTTGACCTACAAAATAAGAAAACATTGCTAGTAAACATTGAATAACATATAAAGAATAAAGCAAGTAACATATAAGATGTAACATATAGAATTCTTGGCGCTTGTGGCTAAATCTGGAATAAAATAAATATAAATTAGTGAAAAATAAAAGCAACAGTAGTGCTGTATTTTAAAACTTTTTCAAGTTAGCTCCTGTGCGTTTGTGAAACGCTGTGCTTAAAGCAATATTTGGCCTACTCCTGTACAAGAATCTCAAGGCCAAAATGCTTCTAGGAACAGTGGTACAGTACAATGGTGTGCACCAACCAAGTACTGTCAAGGCAACGATCTCCTCAATCTGTTAAAACCTTTCGGTTCATGCAAAGATCTATCGATTTGTAAAAAAACCTTTCGGTTTAGGATAAGATCTATCGATCTATAAAATTGGAGAAGAACATGTTTTGGAAGCAGGAGAACAGTTTTGGTCATGTTCGGTCGCCGCAGTGCTAGGCCGGTCGACGAAATACCTACACAGACTCTGGGTATGATTCAGGGCTTAGTGCGGTCGACCGTCGCAGTCGACCGCCAAACCCTGTAATTGAACCATCGGATTGCCAATCTAGTGGTACGCATATGTATAATATCATGTCCTAAATGTAATCTAAGCATTCTTAAATTTGATTTAAGCATACTTTATAAATTCTATAGACTAAACATATAAAAAAATAAATAATATATGATGTTTAGGGTCACTAACCGATTGTAGAAATTTAATTCTCGATTGCATCTTGAAACCATTCGGGTGCTTGACCTACAAAATAAGAAAACATTGCTAGTAAACATTGAATAACATATAAAGAATAAAGCAAGTAACATATAAGATGTAACATATAGAATTCTTGGCGCTTGTGGCTAAATCTGGAATAAAATAAATATAAATTAGTGAAAAATAAAAGCAACAGTAGTGCTGTATTTTAAAACTTTTTCAAGTTAGCTCCTGTGCGTTTGTGAAACGCTGTGCTTAAAGCAATATTTGGCCTACTCCTGTACAAGAATCTCAAGGCCAAAATGCTTCTAGGAACAGTGGTACAGTACAATGGTGTGCACCAACCAAGTACTGTCAAGGCAACGATCTCCTCAATCTGTTAAAACCTTTCGGTTCATGCAAAGATCTATCGATTTGTAAAAAAACCTTTCGGTTTAGGATAAGATCTATCGATCTATAAAATTGGAGAAGAACATGTTTTGGAAGCAGGAGAACAGTTTTGGTCATGTTCGGTCGCCGCAGTGCTAGGCCGGTCGACGAAATACCTACACAGACTCTGGGTATGATTCAGGGCTTAGTGCGGTCGACCGTCGCAGTCGACCGCCAAACCCTGTAATTGAACCCGAGAGTCTGGAGTTGGGTGTGGTCGACTGCCGCGGTCAACCGCCAAACCCTGTAATTGTTTTCTAGGTTCTGTCATTAGTCGTGGTCGACCACGAGCTTTGGGCGGTCGACCGCCAGTCGGGTCAGACCGAGAATTTGGTTTCCTATTCTGATTTGGTTTGTGTTTTGATATAAATATTGAAACACGTTTTAGGGTTTCTTGTGTGAGAGCAGTATTAGGGATATTTGAAGCACAAAAAAAGAGAGTTTTCTGGAGCTATTGGTTATGGTTTTATTTGAGAGATTGAGAGCTTTGTGTAAGAGATTAGTTTGTGGATTTGTAATCTTTATTTGCACTCTTCTTCTCTATTAGTGAAAACTCATCTCCTTCTTGCCCTGTGGACGTAGGCAACTTGTCGAACCATGTAAAATTTGTTTGTTTTTGTTTGTGTTTGTGCCGTTATTTTGGATTGCTTGGCCTTCTCTCTTGGCATTGGTATTTGTTCTTAGCACCCCCATCGGTTTGGTTGCCGCGCACAACAAATGGTATCAGAGCATAACACCAGGTTCAACTCTCATGGTTTGGTAAATGGTATGAAGTGAGCAAGTAGGGTGAGATGAGGTACAAGAAAGGACATGCCTCTTGTGCTTCTTATTTAGTTAGAGGGTAGGAAAGAGAAGATGCACCATTATATAGTTCATTTTCTCTCGCTTTTTGAATATCTCCAATTTGGAGGGATTGTTCTCTTTCCTCATTTTGCGCTTCACTCTATATCTCCTCTAGAAACCCTTCCCCCGGGAGAATTTAGTTCTTTATCCCTTGTGTCACCGCACCCTCTATCAAATCAAGCCTAAAAGCACAAGATTGTTTCAGAATTTTTTTTTCTAGAAACATCAATATGAAGTCCCACGGACCAAATCCCTAATCTCAGAGATTTAGAAGGTTGTTTCTTTCACTCTCCTAGTATTAGCAGAAAAACCTTTTGTCTCGTATAAAATCAAGAACTTCTCTTCCCATAACGATGATAGAATACATTAAATACTACATCAACCCAGATCGTCATCATGAGTATAGTTCTTGTATCTAATAATTTTTTTTTGCAACGAAACGAGCATTATGAATTATGACTCCCATCTTCCGATTAAAGCTGCAAAAATCTAGCCAAAAACCTGATTTAAGCAAAATTAGACATGTAGTTGATTTTTTTAACCCCTTTTTCAAGGAACTTCTACCTCAGCATCTAGCAAGAGCATTATTAATTCAGAAAATGTGGGACCACCAACTAACAACCAACGCGCCTCTAATCCTTTTATTTTTCTTGAACTCACACCGACAGTTATTGAACGCCACATTTCTCTCCTATTTGGTTGATACTTCCAAACTGATACTGGTTTAGAATATCCTAGCCCAGTTTTTGATTTATTGCCAAACACACCCTTACTCTTTGCAGATCAACTAGACATTATCTTTGCCAAACATTTCTAGCTGCAACTTGCGGAGGATTAGAACAGCTAGGTATCATATCATACAACTGACGGCCAGAGATTATTTTCTCTACATGATTAAAGGCCAATTCACATCCAATGAAAAGGCAGATGCAAAGCTGTACTCCATATTGCAGAAAAGATTAGTTTAATTTAACAAAATATAAGAAGCATCAGCCCTTGGCTGCTGTATATATCACTACGGAAGAGAAACAAAACTTCAACTTCAGGAATGTCATCCCCAACGCCACCCCACCCCACATTGGACATGCTCTCATGAACCACGACGCAGCTAAAGTTTCCTAAATTTACATGATCTAATCTAAACAAAAATATGAATAAAAGGCAGATTATTTTTCCCTCCTTTTTTCTGGTCCAATTTCACTCAATCGATACTTCCATCAACGAGACACAAACACAGTTTTCTTTTGGCCTGCAAGCCCGATAATTTTTGGTCTTTGACCAACGTATATAATTTGACAGCTTGAAATCAGGTGGTCTTCCACCTCAAATAAAGGAGACCCCTTGCATTCAATTGAATCTAACACTGAAACAGTCCATCATTCTATAACTTGCACGTTGTGGAGAGCAAAAGATACACCATTAATCAATCAGTTCCGAAAAGCTTAATTACCTTGAGGAAATCCAAGTCGGTGACTGTGCACTTGAAACAATTGCTTAACCATAGTAATTTCCATCATCACAGAAACAGGCAGAAATTTGCAGCAGTCAAACCTTAGGCAAGTTTCTCTGATTTCTGTAAATGTTCAAACTGTTGGCAGTCAACTCCTACTTCTTTGAATGCTGAGATCAATCTGGGTAAGATTTTCGCTAGCATCAGCTTGAAACCAACAGAGCATTGATGCTCCTTGCTCTTTTCTGTCATGCAGGCATCCCTTGTGAGTGAACCAATCATACAATCACCCATATAAGCCTCACATGCTTTTAGAATGTAATAGCCACGCTGTTGAAAATGATCCTTTACAAAGCCTTCAAAATGCTGCACCCACCATCCAAATAGCATAATTCAGACAATAATGTTTTTAAGACAGAAAGAACCAATACAGCAACACTTCATCTGAGGCTCGCAAATATCAGAAATTGTTGACAGCGACAGTAAGACAATTTGCTAGATTCTTTTAGTGTAGGTTTCTGTCTCATGACATTTTTCTCATGGGTGTCTACTAGTTTTTTTCTGTTCTTTCAATTTGTTGAGATAGGTGGGTGGGTAATGGGTGTTTTTCTTTAGATGGAGAGGGAATCATCTAATGATCAAATGACTAGGAGATTGAAGACTGATCACAATTATCTACAGAGTGTTAGTCCTACATTTATATCAACATTGTTATGTGAATAAAACATATAGTTCTCCATTTATACCAACAGTTTCATGTGAAATAAAGCAGACGCACAAGAAAGTGCTAAAAGCAAATTATCGTTAATATTAAAATGTAAAATCAACCATCACATTTGGAAGCAACAGGACCAAGAGAAGAATTACATCAAGGAACACAAAATAGAGAATCTATAATTAAAACAAAAAACAAAATGAAAACATGGATAGAATGGTATTATTAGAAAATTTATTTATAGGTTGAAGCATGATGCAATACAAAAGAAAAAAAAAGGAGAGTTTCTTTACCATAGGAGGCCTTCGTAGAAGATACATCATTGACTTCAAATTTAGCAAGTATGTGTTCTCATTGTAAGGTAAAGAGTTCTTCTCTCCTTCAATACTCCCAACCTGTTTTTCATACCCAGCTTCATTGAAATATGGCTTAGAATTGAGAACCAAACCCTGGAGTGATACCAGGACCTGAAGGATGCTAGAGGAAGATGGGTCCCAAACTTCATTTCCTTTACCAGTCCACGTATTCAAGAGGCTTAGACAAACCTTCCCATCCACATATAGATTGGGATTTACACGCAAACCACCAGAATGATAGTATGCTGACTGAAAAGGCAAATAATTTGTAGTTAGAGACATGAAGCGTTTAATAGGTTAACTGCAAATAGACCCCCTGCCCTATCATCCAATTGCAGGTAGACCCCAGTAAAATCGCCTAACTGTGACAGACCCCATGTAGTGCTATTGTTGCAGATAGACCCCTCAGTGATTTTTTTTAACTCTTTTGCCCTCAGGACTATTTGTCAGTAAAATACTTTTCGATTCCTATGGGGGTAAAGAGTCAAAAAAGATTTCACTCAGGGTATCTATCTGCAACAATGAACTACATGGGTCTATTTGGATTTGGACGATAGTACAGGGAGTTTATCCACAATTAACCCTTAAAATTAAGGTTTAGCTTTGTATATGTTCTTGATATGACCTTATAGCTGGACTAACTTACATAAAAATGAGCAACAATATATATTTGTAATCAGAGGCCTGGAGATGAGAAGACATGATATTTAATTACCGGCGGAACTTGAGGGTACTCGGGTGGTAGGTGAAAGTCAAAGAAGAAAAGTCCATCCTGATATGGAGTTCCAGCTGCTCCAATTATGACAGCCCTAAAAAGATCCATCCGTTCCTCAAAAACTCTGACAAAAATTGCATCTGTAATCAAACCATGGGAAGTTACCATCTAGCGGACAACTGCAGTTCATTGCACATGATATCTAAATACTCTAATGGTTAGTGTGATCAAATTACCAGGCAAGTTCTTCTCAAGGATACTCCATTCTTGCTGAATTTTTCTGATCCACTTCTTTCCACCAGTACTCTGAAATTAATTGATATATGAAGAGCGTTTTAAGGAATTTATAAAAATGTGTCAAAATTTTCAAAGATCTTATTGTAGCCTATGATAATTCTAAAAGAAAGACGTTCCACGTAACAGATGTATACTGAGAAATTCCAGTTTAATAAAATGGAGTAGCTTAAGGACATGAAAGAATCAAGTAATTCTGATGTTACCTGAGCACTGCTACCAAGGTAATAATGGTCAAAAGGATTCTGCACTATATCAAAGTGTTTAAAACTATAATGATTTTCAACTCCTGTAGTGTTAACATCCATTTCAACAGGTATTGAGTCATCATTATCAATCCCGGATGTCATTTCAGCATCATCTGTCGCCGTCAAATGACCAAGTTCGTCACTGGTTTCAACTTCTTTTTCTGAAGGATTAAAACCCAAGGCATCAAGTATTGCATGCCCAAGTTCTTCACCTGAGTTTTGCATATCTGAAACTTCTCCAGTCTCCTGTGACTCCGTACCATTCACAGCTAAATGATCTGAATCTGATTGTTTTCTTCCAAGGGAAAACAACCCTGTGGCAAATCTAGTAACAAAGCCAAGGGCTGCAAGAGGCACAGAAAGTGCACCATTTCGACCAAGATTGCCGTCTTCTTGGGGACTTGGATTGCTATTTTCCACATCCGGAACATTGTCTGTATTATTGCTTAAATCAGCTTCCTGAACATCGTCAGAAGCTTAAGTTAGATAAAATTCAGAAAACAAATATTACAGAAATTCATGAATATATCAAAGGCAACAAGTCAACCTTTTCACTATCTACAAGCGTATTCATGTCATTTTCATCAACAGTTTCCCAGCTAGCACCATCGTCACTAACTTCACTACCACCTCCAAATGAGTCTCCATCATCATCTCGATCAACAACATAAATTGCTTGAGGACCAACCTAATGACAGGAGAGTACATACAAAATCTTATGAAAATAGAATAACAAATAAAAAAGCTACAACTCATAGTTGGTTTGTTAGTTAAAGAGGAAAATGATAAGCAACGAAAATGGCAGCCCTGGTGGAAGGTACTATTTCAAAAAAGAAGCTGCATCAGGTGACTATTTCTTTGGAAAAGGAGCAGGAAGAGGTAGGGGTGCATGAGGGGGCGGCAAGAGGGAAAAAGGGTGTAGCAGTATCATTTAAATAAGATTGGGTGAAATAAATGCACCTTCGACACCATTCCATCAGCCCATGTAACTTCAATATCACCATCTTGGAGGCCAGTGATATTTCCCACCCATGTAAGACATGTGAAATCTTCATCAGGACTGTTCTTTGGTAATTGCTCTCTATTTTCATAGTTTGACCCCTCGCTTGAGACTCCTGATTCCATCATGTCAGGGTGCTTGTAGTGCCCTACCGCAGATTCTCCAAAATTGCTTGTAGTAGCAGAAGTTGATATTGGTGACAGCCGAACAACTACATCCCCATAGCAATAATCATAATCAGGATGTTCATCTAGTTCGTATGCACTGACAACTTCCTCGCAGTCAAACTCCCTAGGGTCTTCAGGCTTGGAAACTGGCTTAAGCCACCTCACACAAACAGTTTTTTCCTTTGCATTTAAACTTCTTACAATCCCAACACGCTTAGTTTCGGAAAGATCACTGGCTTCATCTGATGCCTTCTCCACAACATACTGTTCAGGGAAGAACTCATGATCATTTGGAGTGTGGATGGGAATCAAACATGTTGAGTCCAATCCATATTCTTTTGTTCCATCTTGCCACGCCACATCAACCTTTGTTACTGTCTTTACAACGAACAGAGCTCTTTCAAAAGTCTCATCTCTTCTACGACCCTTCTTGTCTCTTTTAAACAAGACTTTACGAAGCTTTCTACGGTAGGATGGCCAGTTTTCATGACCCACCTCCTTTGAAACTGATGATGATCTACTACTGCCACCAACTGGCAAGCTGCCATTTGACGCCGCCACATTGTTTTCACTCGGTTTAACTGTTTTATCCAAATCCATCAAATTATCACACTTAGATTCTCTGGATGAAGCATTTTCATCATAAACAGTACTAATAGCTCCAGAAAGTGACTGCATCCCCTGGGAATCACACTCGGTTTCTTCCACAATGTCCGTCAGATTGTTATGTGGCTCTAATGACTGGTGGTGTTTGCTAACTATATCAGTAGCATGCAAATCCTGTCCAGAACTTCGTAAACAAGGATTTATAATGATATCAGTAAGTTCTTCACTGATTGAACGGTCATCAGCATGTCCAGCATGAGAACTCTGTATAGGCTCCTTAAGTTTGCTGTTGTTAGAGACATCATCAGGATTAGATGTAGATGAAAAGAGACACCAGTCACCCAATTGCCAATTTGCATATGAGAAACAATCCAATAATGTCAAGTCCTTTGGGTTCTGTTCTTCAGAGGGCACAGTAGATGAATTAGTGCCAACACCAAGGTAAGCAGAGGCTATCCAGTATACAACAACAGATGCCGTCTGAACTTTAATAACAGTACCTTCTAGACGATTAGCTTTCCATAAACCAGAAAGCCAATTTGAGCTTTTGAAAACAGAAGAAGAAACAGCCCTAATCCGTTGACCAGGGTAGTAAGGACAATTTCCATCGTCAATTACAGATTTAGAAACCGGCTGGAGTCTCAATGGATCAGCCTTGACAACTTTACAAATTGATCCATCATCAAATTGGATCGTCACGTTATCTAGAACATCATCCACCCGCCCTAGCCATGGCCCACGAACGACATAATCACCCACAGTAAATTCTCTTATACGTTTTAAATCTTTGGAGGTAATCTGCTTTATAACCTCCCCTTGAGCAGTTAATAAGTCAACTGTGATATTAACATCCACAACAAGACCAAGTTGTCCTGTTGGATTGGTAGCAGAAGAAATAATATCCCCATGTAAGAAACCTCTATCTACAACAGTGATGTCGCTAATATTGTCTGTCGTCTCAGAACCATCAGTCCATACTACTCTGACCTTACCATCTGGAAGCGAATCATCTTCATCGTCTGCATCAATGTCATTGTTATCACCACCTTCACCACTTTTACCACCAGGGTCATCAATATTCCTATCTCCATTATCCTCAATATCACTATCACTGTCACTCGTAAGGCTCCCATCTGAATCGGCATCCCCCGCCACTTCCATAACAACACCAAGCAGACCTTCATACTTGATGCAGCAAACAACATCCTGTCTGTATACAAAACAATCACTATTATTGTCTGGAGGCACTTCACTTGCCTTTGTCTGCACATTTTCAGAATTCTCCTCGACTTGTTTACCAGAGCAGTTTGCAGCAGCTTCCATAAAATTCACCATGTTCTTCACTTCAACAATGTTGATACTTTTGCAAAGATTATCATGAACAGGATCGTGCTCATTTTCCATCCAAGGTATACCCAGAATTTCTGATAGAAGTTGCAGAGGCCAGATATTAATGAAAAGTGTGCAGCTGAAACATGTGTAATAAATCTTAATGTCTAGCATAGAGCAAAAATAACTAGAAAAAAAGTAACAAGAGCTTGTAACTCTCAGAAAGTATAAAAGCAAGCAAATCAACCTGACTTCACCCTCTATAGTGATGCATGGTTACAAGTTACAACAAGAGAAGAAAATGCAAGTGCTTTGAAGGAAAAATCATAGATCAAACATAAGCCCTCTACATCGGTGTCAGTCCTAACCAAGGAAACTATGCACCAAGAGTGAGGTTCGCCATGAATCTTAGAAATCCAGCTGATGTATAGGTAAACTTTCCCAACCATGCAATTTAGGTTCACGCCCAAGGAACATCCTTCTGAGAGTCTACTAGCCAAGTATGAGGGCAGAACAAAGGGAAGATGAAATTTTGAAAAAGGGAAATTAATTGCAACATAAGGAACAAAACGAGCAACGAAGGAAAATGGAATATGTTCCTAGAACCTAGAACGAAAAGAAGAAAAGGAAGGGGAAAAAAAGAATTTTGAATTAAATAAATTTATTTTTCAATGAAAAAAGTCAAAATCTTCACATACATCATACATGAAACTATAAAAATAATAAAAGAATCCATCTAACTCGGACAACATCACCAACATAAAAAAGTGAAAGAGGGTGCTCAAACTGGAGTTTGACCCAACAGTATCAATAAGGGCTAGGAAGGAATATTCCCCATCATCAGCAGATTCGGCACAAAAATTCATAATGGAGAGCATGAACAAGTTTACTGGGCACATCACCAATTGTCTAGGTAAAATAATATTAGACCATCTTTAAGTGAAATTGAAACTGATGTGAAACAATGTGTATGCAGGTATGAAAAACAACAACAATGCTTCACCAAATCAGCGATCGATCTAGACAGGAGCATCAAGAAAAAAGTGGAGTTCTAGATGGTTTTAAACAAAAATTACAATGTACTAAGTTTACAGTCTTGTAAATTATTCAGAATAGAAATGTAATAATTTGTTCTTGTAATGAAAGTTCGAATTGTAATATTTAAGTCATATACGAGGTAAAAAAAAGTCACTCTCTCACTAATCAAGCAAAATACAGTACAATAGCAGTTGATATTATAATTGATAATAACATGCACACGATGGCAGCTCCTAAAGTACCGGGTTGAGAGAAAATAAAACATTCGTCGGTCTGAACAGGCTCGACGTAAGGGACCACTGGAGGTGGTGTGATGACACCGAATATGAGGGGAGAGAGATCTCCTCTGAGAGCTATGTAGCTGGGGTGAAGTGGTGCGTCTAGGTGAAAGCGTCGGTACCATGAACTGATTCCCAGACGACTCTCCACACTATCAGCGATCTGAGGGGTCACGCGATCAATATACTCTGTTGGGGTGTCGAAGGGCTGGTAGTCAAACCACTGAGAGTTGCAGGTCTACCACGCCGGTCTTTGGGTCGTACACGAATTGGGCGTTCTCGGCTGTAGGATCGGCCATACACTAATGGGTTGCAGAGTCGAGATTCGAATCGGATTCGAATCGGGTTCGAATTAGACTCCAAACGGGCCTGGAACAGATTTTGGATCAGGTATGAATTAACGGATTTGTTTCCTTTACGGGTTGGATCTGAACTGAAAATCAAATCCACTGAACCAGAGTCTAGTCTGATAAAAAAACCAGATCTGAAGTGCTCCTCAGTGTGATCTTCAATCTGAGGGGAAGAGCGAGCGAGCAACGTTTGAGGATGAAGAATGACGGTGGCGATTGAAGACGAAGGCGGAGATGTGACGACGACGAGGCGACGGGAAGACGCGGGCGACAGGAAGAAGTGATGACAGGAGGACGCTGACGGGCGGGCGACTTGTTCAGGAGGCTCGAGCTCGGGACTGGCGACTGATTGGAGTGGAAGTAGAGGGGAAAGGGGATGACGACGGGGTTGTCAGGGTAGAAGAAGAGGAGGGAAGGGGTGGCGACAGCTAGGATTTCACACCACTAGGCCGCGAGTTTCACACAGCAATTCAGGTAAAAAAATATTCAAAAATCTCTACCTTCTTTGATTACAACAGTGCTTAAAAAGAAAAGAAAAAATACAAATTCTGAAATCTCTAAAATCACTCAAATACCAAAATTGACTCTACTACTAAATTTGATCCAAAATTCAAATTTCAAATCTAAACTGTTTAAACTGAATCAACTACTAACTCTGTACCATAATTCAAATTTCAAATAAAAACCAAATAGGCATGTTGTCCACCAGAGGGCGTTTTCTACACCGGTAGGTGCGTCCGAATCTGGCCGTGATGTCCTCATCAGAAACAGTCATATGTCCTCTCTTATCCCCCTCCTTTTTTCTAGTTGCCTAAATAAGTGCTCCTCTCTTGAAACTTTTTCCCTCCTATTTGCCTGAATAAGTGCTCCGACTCCAATCCTCATATTTTTAAATAACATTAGAAATCATCATCTCTATCATGATAGAGTGAATAATCAAGAAAAAGAGTGGTGGAGGAAGAATACAAGGAAAATCCATGGTGAATAATTTTATTAGGTTTATAAACTACACTTTTCACCTTCTATTTGACCTTTTCTTCTAACGTACTTATCCTGAGATGTTATGACTGACTGAAAAACTAGTCATTTGAAACACTTCAAAGACCTTGCTTGCTTTGTTTCCTGACCTAAGCTCACACATAACTATAGCCATTTGAACCATAAATCGGAACATAAGAATCAAGGTGCTAAAGAGGAGAGGTAACAATCACAGAATAGATTCTCACAGAAAGGTGAGGTAGAAAAGCTCACCAAACAAAAAATGAAAAAAGAAAAAAAAGAAAGAAGCGTCAGACAACTTCCTCACTCCTCCTGGAGAGGCTAGATCTACTTTAAAGCCGACAGACGTTCTTGCTACAGTTGGAGCGGGGAAAAGCATGCTTGTGTTGATCTCACGGGGGTGTCTCCGTTGGTGGGGTTTGATAATGGAGTGTTCACGGTTGGACATGCAGTGGATAGGGCGACAAACACATGATCAAGCTTGCAAGGACAACCACCACAGTTTCATCCCGTTCGCGTTCGATACGTTTGGTTACCTTGCAGCTGATGTGATGGAGTTCCTCAAGAGGGTACAAAAATTCATGAATAGGAATGTGACGACAACAAAATCAGTTGAGTACGTGTTTCGTAGGTTGGGTTTTGTAATTCAGAAAGGATTAGCGACGCAGCTTGTTGCCCGCTTGTCATCATCACATGTGTAATATTTTGGTTTTCCTAATATACAAAAGGGAAAAAATAGAAAAAAAAGAAAAAAAAGAAAAAAAGAAAAAAAAGAAAAAAAAAGAAAAAAAAGAAAAAGCAAACTAATCAGAATCTGGGGAGAATAGAAATAATTGCTTATACTATAATAACAATACAGATAAAGAAGAAACGAGTGCTAAAGCAAATCAGCTGTACATACTGAAAACTATACATAAATCTTGCTTTGATGACTTTATGTCAGAAACTCATCTCATATATAGTTTTCAATTACATGTTTTTTTACCCCTCTCATTAGTACCGGCAACAAGATGAACAATTCCCTGCATAACTGTGTTTAGAATCTTTGGATACATTAAAATTTTCTGCTGCATGTTCTCAAAAACAAATTAAACGCTCGAAGCTTTACGGTAGTTTCAAAGTCCACAGTTGTACATATCCACCTAAAAATCTACAGTTTTCCTTTCGTTGCAACTATATCGGAAGGCTTCTATATTATTATATTATTCAAGAATCCTAGAAAATTTGCTCATCTTAACCTCTCAAACTAAATAACCCAAACAGCCATATGCCAACAATTTAGAGCAATTATGTGCGAGTTGCAATCTATCTCATGATGGTCCACTATCCAAATTTAGGACTTAGGATAGGCAATACTCCTTTCTTCCCACAGCTAAACAAAACCCCAAGAGCAATACATGCCTTTGTTTGACAGAGTGGAGGGTAAAGAATATGGTCAATAAGAAGTACTGAGCACACAAATCATGTCCATACAACATTAATCATTTTAAACCAGAACTTGAAATAATGGAATGTACTGGTCCATCAATTTGAAAATGACTTGAGGCATTATTGCATTACCCACATGCAGTGCATACATTTTAATATTAAAAAAACACAGAATGTTTAATACTGCAAAATGCCCTTTCAAAAGATGAAGAACATGTCTTTAGCATAAATTGTCATCCGCACTTCCGCAGTATGAATAACGAGAATGTTTGGTGGAAAATTTGTAGTAAAAAGAAAAATTAAAAGAAATATATTTGATTTGTATTCTCTCAATCTCAATTACAATTTGGATTTTCGATTACAAAAAAGAAAAAAATTGATCTGAATTCTCCCCTTTGTTTAATTCTGGGTTCTTCACGGTGACGATGGAGTGCTTCCCTCGAATGCTCACGTTGAGTTTGCTCTCCGTTGACGGTCCGACGTTTCGCTTCACTGGAACGATATTTTCTTCTCACGATTTGACGTTGTGAAGAACTTATGTGGCAAGTTTTAAAGAACTCTTGATGAGTTGATAACTCTGAACGAGTTAAAACTCTATGAAAGAGTTTAAAACTCTATGAAAGAGTTGATTTAACCGAAATCGGTTTGTAAACCAAGGATGAAGAAAGCTCGTTGTTGATCTCCAAAGCTCCAGCAATTTCCCCAAAAAGCCAACCGAAGATCTCCTCTCTTCTGCCAAGCTGAAGGCCAAAAGAAGGATCAATCCGAGAGCCCGAACTTAATTGAGTTTTCCGCTACTTATAGGGGATTAAGAGGTATAACTGCCCCTTAATTCGCTCCTAAGTGGGGCTAAATAGGATGTAACCATCCCCTTAAACTGCTCCCCAAATCGTGAAGAAAACGATTTTGAAACCGTTCAGTTCGTGATTTGAACGAGTCAAACGCTGAAAAACAGCGTTCAGAGTCTGAACTCTGCGTTTTAGACTTAAAACACAGAGTTTGGCCTATTTTGATGGCTGAACGCACAGGTCGCGCTGCGTTGTAAATCTAAAACGCAGAGTTGGGACGCAGAGATGAACTCTGCGTTTTGAGTCCACGAACTCTGTGTTTTTTTTAAGTGGAGCGTTAGGGATGACTTCTGTGTTTTGACTCTAAAACGTGGGCATGACCTTTGCGTTTTGATGTTGTAACACAGGGATGACCTCTGCGTTTTAATGTTGTAACACAAGGATGACATCCGCGTTTTGATGTTGTAACACAGGGGTGACTTCTACGTTTTGATGGTGTAACGCAGTGATGACCTCTGTATTTTGATGTGAAGAGACCATTAATTTATGATCTCTTTTGCTGGAACGTTGCAAAGACCGTCATCTTGTAATCTTCATCTTAGCTCCTTGAAAATATGAGAGTCGTCAGATTTTAACTCCCGATGTTGATTGTGAAAGTTGTTGAACTAGAGCTTTTATCGGTTATTATGAATGTCGTCAGATTGTATCCTTCATCGATCTACGTGAAAATCTTTAAATTATAGCATTCTAAAAATCGTCAGATTATAACTTCCATCGTCGGTGTTTGATGAGGGATCAGCTACCTGTAGTGATTTTTAGACAACCTACAGAGAAAAAATTAAATAAATAGAGAAGGATCTAACAAAAGGCAATTGATCATATCATAGTAGCTCCTCGCATACTGATCAAAAGTCAAATCTTGTACAGATAAGAGTGATATGCTAGATGGTATATAACTTGATCATAACCAAGCATATCAAATTTCTAGCAAAAATTGAAAATTTCAAATGGTAACATGGATGCATCAATACAAACTAAGGTACCACATGAGCATCCTACTACAGAGTGGTGAGGTTCCTAGATACTGGTTCTGCTTGGCGTGAGGCTGCTATCTCAAAGCATGCATCCTTACTGCTAAGTTGCCATATCATCACAATGGCAATGTCAGTACATAAAGACAGGCATGCATGCACCTAAATATTTACGACGCACATGATACACTAAATAAAGTGGAGCTAAGACAAAATGAGGTAGCCAAGCCAAATAGAAATTTGAAACAAATATCTACCTTGCATTAATTATGTCATCAATAACCATAACATGCCATATCTTGCTCTCTAAATTTTGATTAGGAAAATGAGATTCAAGATAACATTAGAAGGACCACAAAATACAATGTAACAAGATCAATATCAAATAACATTAGATTATGGAAAAGCAAGGAAAGACACAGATACCAATATCCTGACTGACTTGATTTTGAGAGAAATAGGAGGAGCATCAGCTTTGTAACAAAAAAAAGACAAATATTGAGGATTTCATGGAAAGGAAATAACAAGGTGCGAACACAAGCAACAGATGAAAGTTCCATTGTTAGTAACACTAGTATTCCTAGTCCATAATCAATTGTTTGTCATTGATCACTTTAGTATAGCTATTTCATATTAGTTTCTTTGTGAAAATCTGGTATGCTATCTCTATTTGGATACAGCACATACATTTAGCCTCATCTCTAGGACAAAGGACACCATGTCTAGACTCTGAGATCTTTTTTACGTCTCAAGTTTTCTTCTCAAAGACAATACTTTCTTTTCTCCATCTTTATTTCATGTCTTAGGTCATTGTTAACTAATTCTAAGTTCTATGACATTATATAAGCTATTTTACAAACTAGTAAAACTAGAACACTTTCCATCGAAATAGAACCTGAACTATTAGTACAAGTTTAAAAATAATCACATTTTCTACATTCCTCGAAATGGTTGACGAAGAAAATACCTGCAATCCTACCTATATAAGGTACCCGCAACATGGGTGGTATAATACAAAATTATAACCCCCTCACCACAACTTCAGCAATGACCAGAACTAGCATGAAAGTAGTATTTCTTAGCGTTCAAATGGACATAATTTCCATGTTCGACAGTTGTCTGCAATTTTCACTAAAGTAATGTACTCGTCCTCAAATGCGTATAGCTAGAGTCCACAATAAACAATATTGGTCACATGAGCACATAACCAATCACCGAATACTGAGAGAAAGAAAAAACAAACAACAGCTACACCACAAACCTAAAGACTAAATTTACATACGCACCTCCTGATCAGATGATTACCTCAATCACAATCTTTATCCTTTCCAGGAAAAAAGAAAGAATCTTTATTCCAGCTGACAAAAATATAAACAAAGAAAGAAAAATCCAAGAACCTAAAAGATCTCCTAAAAAACACACTTACGGGGTTAGGGCATCATCAGCGATCGATCATAGTAACAAAAGCAACCCCAGATTGAAAAGAAATTAAGAAAAACAAGCAAACAGATTTTAAAAAAAAATTAGGGATTTAAGTAGAGATTGGAACCTTGAAAATCGAAGGGAGCGAAGATTTGAGGCAGCGATAAAGCGATCACGAAGCGATGCCGGGGTCGACGGCGAAGAGACGAAAGGGATAAAAGAGGGAGGGGCAAAGGAGATGCCTTGTCTATTTCCTAAAAATGGCAAATTATATATGTTGGGGCTTTTTTGCCAATAGGAAAAAGAAAGGGGGTTCACCGGCTTAAAAAGGAGGACGAAGGGCCGCTCAGCTCGAGCTCGTGTCGCGATGATGAAGATCAGGTGTGGTTTGAGTCGGATGGAGGTGTACAGGTGGTTTTGTGGGTCTCACACGTGTAATCTACAAGTAGCGTGCGCTTGAGAATTTGGGGGGCAAAAAAAAAAAATCATTTATTAGGTGGAGGGGGTGCGGGTAATCCAATTCAGAACACATTGATCGTCGGGATCCCATAAGATAAGTATTACTATATTATATTATGAGGGACCCAAAATATGGGACCAATAGGGGGGACAAGTGATGTGTCCCCTTTCTATTGGATAATGAGTTGACCATCATTAATGATGACCAACTCATTATCCAATAGGAGTGGAACACCTCACCTGTCCCCCCTATTGGTTCCATATTTTGGGTCCTTAAAGAATTTTTCTTATATTATTATGACTAGTATTATTACACCTTGTGAAGCTCGATGTCAGTTGCTTACAGAAAAACTCTTCAAAACGCATTTACCTCTTTCAATTCTTATTTTGTAATATCTTTAGACTATTTGAGGCACGGATATATCTCCCTATTGGAGAGAGAGACACATCTTCATTTTTTTATACCTCGCTTTTAAAAAGAATATCAAAAACTCATTTATTTATTTTTTTCAATACTTGTGTTATATATTTGTATGAAGTGATATTTCAAATGAGAAATGTAATAGGATAAATGATAAATATTGCCAAGAAGAATTAATGGACCTACTTTCTTATCAAGGCATTATTAAGTTCTTATAACATCAAAACTATTGGAAAAAATAAATAAATTTAAAGATATAAAAGATGATCCGTGTGAAGGCATCATCAATTAAAGAGAGTAGTGTGGTTAATGTTTTGATGTGATTTTGATTTTATAGAAGTAAGTTAATTTGATGCTATTTGAATTGCTATATATTGAATATTGAAGTTAGTTCTTTCTTTTGAAAGGAAAAGCATGTTACCGTATTATAGTAATCTTTATTTTCCTCCTGATTGCCCAAAAATTTGAATTTTTATTTTTCAAGCACAAACAATCTTTATTATTTTTCCTAACTATTACTACATAGAAATTGACTAAGTGTTAGTCCTCCCCCAGGAGCCGACACGTGTACATTCTAGCTAAGCATCAGATCGATTCCATCCTAGGCAGGACGACTCGAGCAACACCAACACTACCCTTCCAAATGAGGATCGTATCAAAAATCGTTCTCACCAGAGCCACTACTTGAGTCAATCCTACTCCTCAACACCCTACAAGGCCCAGTTCGAGAACTTTCGAATTCAAGATGGCCGAATAAAAGGGCGGTACTTATCGACCAGCTCGCAAGACCGAGATGAAAGGCATCATTTGTCAACCCTCTCACAAAGCCGAGTCGAGAGGCGGTTTGTCCTCAAATCCCCCGCTGACAGTCGATCACCATCACATTGAATGCGCGACCACATCCATCATTACTCTAGCACCAAAAGTCTTTATGACTCATCGGACCTCATCAGCACCATGCATTCCTCGTCACCATCACATTAAACACATAGATTACTCATCCTCTCTGTAGCTGGCACATGTAAAGAATCTACCGACTGAGCTATCTGTATGGACTTAACCAAAATTACGCAATTGCCCCTCTAGACCTCCTATAAATAGAGGCAATTTCTGTTGCACTGGGTAAGCAATTTTCTTGCTACTGAACACATTTGAACCCTACTTCTCCACTCAATCACTTGACTGACTTGATTGTTGGAGGAATCACCGAAAATCCTAACTCGGATCCTCTCATGTGCTATTTATATGCAGGAATGAATTCTCGGCTTGGCAACCCACTATCTAAGGAAGATTGAGGAACTCTAATACACTGATAACTCCAAAATTAACCCCCTGTTTGATAATTAACATCAATAGTTTGGCCCCCACCGTGGAACATCTTTTCCTTCTTTGCACAAGATGGCTAGTTCTAATCATCCAAGTCGATCCCCCATTCCATCTATTGAAGAAATATAGATGACTATGTCACTCAAGCCAAACTAGAGGAATCTGCTTGAAGAATTCCCAATCTCTTCAGCAACAATTCACTTCTTCCATGAACAAACTCCTCATCCAGATTCCTCCCCAACAGCCTTCTACGTTGTTTGTTCCTCCTTCTCCTCCTCATGCTAGTCAAGCGTTCATTCCTTCTCCTCTATAGGTTAGGTTGAGTAATGAAAGCTATAGGATTATGTTGAATACACTTCTCCCTCGCTTCGCTAGTAGACTCGTTTTGTCGCTCCTCCTCAACAACCTCAGCAGTACGTGGAGGTGAGGGGGAAAGTCCCAGCTTCAGCCATGGCGACCATGAGCGCACCACGTGGATAGTATCACGCGCCCCCGACACCCTAATGCTGCTCTAGGTCCTTCCACCACTAATCTTGCATCTGACTATAATCGAACGTTTAACACTGGAGTAGACACCATCAGAGGGAATACTCCACTCGCTGACTGGATCATGAACGCCTCATGTGCCAAGTTCAAGATGCCGCATATTGAAAAGTACAAAAGCGAGGGAGATCCAGTGGAGCATGCACAAAATTTTTATGATCTGATGAGCATGCAACATGTGATCGAGCCGATCATCTGTAGATCCTTTCCTATCACCTTGACATGAAACGCTATGATGTGTTGAAAATCTCTGGACAAAAAGTTCATCCATAGCTTTGAGCAGCTCAGCTAAAAATTTGTACATTATTATTTGACCGACTCCAAGCAGAAGAAGCCCTCCTATGTCTTGCTGCAAATGAGATAGAAACCTAAGGAGAGTCTTAGGGACTATTTCAAGAGATTCCAAGACAAAAGGCTAGAAGTTGATGACCCTAGCAACATGATCCCTATGGTTGCAATCTTGGCAGGGTTAGAGGATGATAGACTGTCTAACTCGCTCTTCGTAGACCGTGTCACCAATTATGAGCAGCTAATTGTTAGAGTTCAAGGATACATGGATACGGAAGATGCTCGAGCCTAAAAGAAGACGGCCAGAGAAGCTGCAGTAGTGGTAGCAGCGGCAAAAGGCCCTCACCAAAAGAGAAGATGAAAAATGTCTCCCATAGAGCCGACCCCAAGTCAAACAGAGCCAACACGAGAGACCAGAAGAAAGAGGCGGCCAAACGGCTAGCCCTCACTTATCTCAACACCACTCTCTCGCAATCTATCTACTTGGTTTAGAAAGAGGGATACCTCAATTCTACTCCTCCCTACATGAAGTTGTATCCTCAATTCAGGGATACCAAGCAATATTACTGATATCACAAGGATCATGGTCGTCACACTGATAACTGCAAAGTCCTCTGCAGGAATATCGAAGACTTGATATAGAAAGGGTTTCTAAAGAAACTTATTTCTTGGCAAAGCAGAGGAGATCTCACACCAGAGAAGTTAGGAAGAAGGTCCTAATCAAATTACCATGTCCTCAGCAAGACAAGCAACCCAAAGAGTCAGGCAACCGAGGCATCATCAATATCATCAGTGACGGTCCGGCAGCAGGAACAATATCCAATAACGCTCGGAAGAAATATGCTTGATGAGCATTGGATATCAACCTATGTGAAAAGAGACCAAGGACAAATCAGCCTATTTCCTTTAACAAGGTTGATCTGAAAGGCATAGAAACACATCATCACAACCCTCTCATTATTTCAGCCGAGATTAACATTTTTCAAGCAAAAAGAGTCTTGGTTGATAATTGAAGCTCCACTAACATCCTGTACATGAGAGCCTTCAATCAGATGGGTATTGACAAGTCAAAATTACAACCTTGCTGAGGTCCCTCGTTGATCTCACATGACACTTGCTCCTACCGGAAGGGCTGATTACTCTTCCCTTAGTGGTTGGAAAATACCATCATCAGTTCACTGTTCAAACCCAATTTGTGGTGATGGACCTGAACTCCGCTTACAACGTTATTCTTAGAAGAATTTCATTGAATAATCTTCAGGCGGTCCCGTCCACATACCACTAAATAATAAAGTTCTTGATCCCAGAAGGAGTCGAGCTTGTGAGGAGCAACCAGTGAGAGGCCAGATCATGCTATCTACTCTAAATGAAAGGAAAATGAGTTTTGGAGACACTGCCAATTGAGAAGACCCACCTCCAGATGCAAAAAGAACTAGAAGGAGAGCAGACGACTCTCATAGAAGAGTTGCAAGAGTGATGATCAATCTTGATGGGTTGAGGAAGGTCAAAATTAGGTCTGGCCTCGTTGATCCCCAGCAAGGACAATATTTTTGTGAGAGGCATACGTGGACAATATTTTTGTGAAATCAAAGCAAGTGGCGTCTCATGTATCAGACCTTGAAGAAACTTTCTCCTTACTCCGACACTTTCATATGAAGCTCAATCCAGCCAAATGTGCCTTCAGTATGCAATTACGCAAATTCTTTGGATTTATGATTACCCAATGAGGCATTGAGATCCACCCTGAAGAGATAACTGCCATTGAGCAGATGCCTGAGCCTTGCACATTGAAGGATGTACAGAAGATGAATGGTAAGACAGTTGTGTTAGGCCGCTTTCTTTCAAAATCTACTGAAAGTAGCCTCTCCTTCTTCAAAATTTGAGAGAAAATAGGGAATTGAAGGAATGTATCGACTAGACAGTTGAATATAATGAGGCCTTCAACGACCTCAAGAGGTATTTGAGTACCAAGCCTCTGTTGAGCTGACTCAGAGAAGGAAAACCCTTGTACCTCTATTTGGCAATCTCAAAAAGGCAACAAGCTCTGTCCTAATTCACAGAGGCTGATATATTATATTAGTCGGATCCTGAAGGCGACCGAACTCAACTACACCCTGATCAAGAAGTCCTCCTTCACTCTTGTAATTATAGATTGGAGGCTTCGCCTCTACTTTCAAGCTCATACTATATTGGTGTGGATAAACCTGCCCTTGAAGAAAGTTCTCAAAAGCTCTATCACTTTGGGAAGAATGATTAACTGGTCAGTTAAGCTCAGTGAATATGATGTACAATTTGAGACCAGGATGACCTTAAAAGTTCAAGCCCCT